TTCTGTCTTAGGCTGTAGTATCCATTACGAACTTCAAATGACAAATTCGAAACAATTCCGGTGAATAATGTCGCTAAAATCATCAAAATACCGAATATCGGGAGGTTCTGTTATATGGGGGCTATATGATAACTTGGACCTACATGGCCCATTTTATTATTATTTTTTTTTTTTATTTTATTTTAACCTGCTTGCTGGCAAAATATACATGTATGCAAAATTTTAGCCTTCTATCTCAATTTGTTCGAAAGATAGCGTGATTACAACAGACAGACAGGCAGACGGATAGACAGACAGACACACAGACGGACATGGCTAAATCGTCTTAGAATTTTACGCTGATCAAGAATATATATACTTTGTTTGGTCTGTCATGAGTATTTCGAGGAGTTACAAACTGAATGACAAAATTAATATACCCTCCATAGTATGGTGGAAGGTATAAAAAGGGAGAAGTTCGCCTTTGGAATATTTTGGATTTCGTCTGTAAGTTATTTTCAGAGATTCGGTAGAATGGAAATGTTGGTATTTTTTCACACAAAAATAGTGGCTCATTCTACGCGCTGTCCTAAACTTCAACTTCTTCAATATTATAAGTCAAATTAGGAAAAAAAAAAATCGCATGCGATAAAAATATGAAAAACTAAAAAAAATCGACAAAACACTACAAATCTATATTAACATTATTATTGGCATCTTTTATGCGATTTTTTTTTTTTGATTTTTTTCTTTTATGCCAATAGGACATTCTGAATTGACAAAATTTGTCAAAATCGGTCCTGCCATTCTTGAGATATAAGCATCCTTTGTATATACACTTTGCATATATTTCCCTATATATATCCGATATATTTACTATCGGCATCTACGTAACGGTCATTTGTGATTTCGGCAGGATTAAAAATACCCGCTGTTTATTGGAAAATTTGACTTTTACTTAACACAAATGTTATGGTCTATTTCACCCAATAAATATAATCCGATCACCATCCAAATTAGAAGGCTTATGTCTAGGCTTAAGCTTTAGCCCTATGCTAGCTTGCGACGATGTGTCTATAATTGCGACCTGTAGAGCAACTGCAAAATTAGGACATTTTTCAGTTTTTGGTCCATTTCAACCCCCAAATATTTTGCAATCATCTCCAAAAGCAATAGGGTTCTATTCTGACCCTAACCCTACCTCTATTTTCAATTTCGTGCGAATCGGGCCATAATTGCGACAGGCGGACGGACGGACATACATAGCTAGATCGACTTAGCTCAAAATTAAAATACCCCCAACACATAGTGTTGTCGGGTATAAAAAGGCCAAATACGAACTGTTGGATCAGATCTAAAATTTGAAGGTGGTCTTTACGCTGTCGAAGTGGCGTGCACTTACTAGTTGATCATTGTGTTTATTTTGTTGTCTGAAAAGAATCACTTTTCCTGCATTGGAATCGCTCACAATTAGCTATTGGTTTACAGCGCCTAGTTCACTAGGTTCCGCCGGACGTATAATTTTTTCTTAACTATTTCAAAATATTTTAACCCATTGACCAGCATTTTAGTCCTTCTTATTGAGACTTCTTCAAGCTCCTCCACCTAAAGTTAAATACTTTAAAAGCCACGATCTACAGTGCCGCACATAAATGACACATTTTCTGTGCCATGGTATAGATAAGGACAAAAGAAACGTGATACAGTCCATTAATCATGCACTCGCATTAAAACGAAGAATAAAAAACAAGGACATTAAGGGTACTACAATGGATAGTTTTAAATTGCAATCAGGTTATAATTAATGGACTTTTTCTTAATTGTGGTGGGTAAATTCCATTCCCGCAGTGAGACTCGCATGGAGGAATTAAAAAATTTAAGAGAAAACATCGAAGATAGGTCCTCCCAGGTGACACTTTTTTTATCCTCCTGATTTGTTTGTTGATTTGAGGTAATGAATTAATGACCAAAGGATTCTAAGAAAATCTTATTATCTAATTTTTTTCTTCACCTCCAGGGCAATATTGTAATGGACTTCATAGTCTATGACCTAAAAATCGCGTTCGTCATTGATTGTCCTCCAATTAGATGGCACGTGTGGAAAATAAATCTCGGAAAATTCTGTAGTGTTTTATAGCAGCGATTGTTATTTGGGATAACACTTTGCGCCACTCATGCCATTGATTTGTCCAATGTCAAGGTTTCCCATGTAATTACATGCCATTCACAACATTGCCACCCCCCGCCCCCAACCTGACAATACCAAAGCTCTGCCATGGAGATGCACAAACGTTCAAATAATGATGATGAGGATAGATTCAGTGGCAAAAGAACAGTTGATAGACAGCTTCATTATTAGATTGAACTTATGGAAGATTGAGGAGGGTGGGGAATGCAGGGTTTTATTATAATAACACTTCATTTTGGCAGGTAAATTTGTTCATGCGGGAGGAGGGGGAGGTAGCTGTGGCGTGTTAATGAAATGTTTTCATAAATTACAAGCTAAAAGAAGTGGGTGTTCTCATATTTGGCACTTGACAAATGAAAAGGGTTGTAGAGATAATTAATGACATTTTGGAGAGGTCGTAAAACTAAAATTGTTGAAAAACACGAATAGAGATTTCAGCAAATGTAGATTTAAAGCCGGGCTGAATTGAAGTTTTCCTATGGAAAACCCCTATTCAGCCGGGCTGTATTGAAGTTTTCCTATGGAAACCCCCAATTCAGCAGGGCTGAATTGAAGTTTTCCTATGGAAAACCCCCATTCAGCCGAGCTGAATTGAAGTTTTCCTATGGAAAATCCCCATTCAGCCGGGCTGAATTGAAGTTTTCCTATGGAAAACCCCCATTCAGCCGGGCTGAATTGAAGTTTTCTTATGGAAAACCCCCATTCAGCCGGGCTGAATTGAAGTTTTCCTATGGGAAAACCCCCATTCAGCCGGGCTGAATTGAAGTTTTCCTATGGGAAAACCCCCATTCAGCCGGGCTGAATTGAAGTTTTCCCATGGGAAAACCCTCATTCAGCCGGGCTGAATTGAAGTTTTCCTATGGGAAAACCCCCATTCAGCCGGGCTGAATTGAAGTTTTCCTATGGGAAAACCCCCATTCAGCCGGGCTGAATTGAAGTTTTCCTATGGGAAAACCCCCATTCAGCCGGGCTGAATTGAAGTTTTCCTATGGGAAAACCCCCATTCAGCCGGGCTGAATTGAAGTTTTCCTATGGAAAACCTCTATTCAGCCGGGCTGAATTGAAGTTTTCCTATGGAAAACCTCTATTCAGCCGGGCTGAATTGAAGTTTTCCTATGGAAAACCTCTATTCAGCCGGGCTGAATTGAAGTTTTCCTATGGAAAACCTCTATTCAGCCGGGCTGAATTGAAGTTTTCCTATGGAAAACCTCTATTCAGCCGGGCTGAATTGAAGTTTTCCTATGGAAAACCTCTATTCAGCCGGGCTGAATTGAAGTTTTCCTATGGAAAACCTCTATTCAGCCGGGCTGAATTGAAGTTTTCCTATGGAAAACCTCTATTCAGCCGGGCTGAATTGAAGTTTTCCTATGGAAAACCTCTATTCAGCCGGGCTGAATTGAAGTTTTCCTATGGAAAACCTCTATTCAGCCGGGCTGAATTGAAGTTTTCCTATGGAAAACCTCTATTCAGCCGGGCTGAATTGAAGTTTTCCTATGGAAAACCTCTATTCAGCCGGGCTGAATTGAAGTTTTCCTATGGAAAACCTCTATTCAGCCGGGCTGAATTGAAGTTTTCCTATGGAAAACCTCTATTCAGCCGGGCTGAATTGAAGTTTTCCTATGGAAAACCTCTATTCAGCCGGGCTGAATTGAAGTTTTCCTATGGAAAACCTCTATTCAGCCGGGCTGAATTGAAGTTTTCCTATGGAAAACCTCTATTCAGCCGGGCTGAATTGAAGTTTTCCTATGGAAAACCTCTATTCAGCCGGGCTGAATTGAAGTTTTCCTATGGAAAACCTCTATTCAGCCGGGCTGAATTGAAGTTTTCCTATGGAAAACCTCTATTCAGCCGGGCTGAATTGAAGTTTTCCTATGGAAAACCTCTATTCAGCCGGGCTGAATTGAAGTTTTCCTATGGAAAACCTCTATTCAGCCGGGCTGAATTGAAGTTTTCCTATGGAAAACCTCTATTCAGCCGGGCTGAATTGAAGTTTTCCTATGGAAAACCTCTATTCAGCCGGGCTGAATTGAAGTTTTCCTATGGAAAACCCCCATTCAGCCGGGCTGAATTGAAGTTTTCCTATGGTAAACCCCCATTCAGCCGGGCTGAATTGAAGTTTTCCTATGGTAAACCCCCATTCAGCCGGGCTGAATTGAAGTTTTCCTATGGTAAACCCCCATTCAGCCGGGCTGAATTGAAGTTTTCCTATGGTAAACCCCCATTCAGCCGGGCTGAATTGAAGTTTTCCTATGTAAAAACCCCATTCAGCCGGGCTGAATTGAAGTTTTCCTATGTAAAAACCCCATTCAGCCCGGCTGAATTGAAGTTTTCCTATGGAAAACCCCCATTCAGCCGGGCTGAATTGAAGTTTTCCTATGGAAAACCCCCATTAAGCCGGGCTGAATTGAAGTTTTCCTATGGAAAACCCCCATTAAGCCGGGCTGAATTGAAGTTTTCCTATGGAAAACCCCCATTAAGCCGGGCTGAATTGAAGTTTTCCTATGGGAAACCCCCATTCAGCCGGGCTGAATTGAAGTTTTCCTATGGGAAACCCCTTCTAGCATATCTTCTCTAAATTAAGTTATTTCCTTTCTTCTCCGTGACCTGTTACCTAACACTGCTAAGAGGTCCTTTGTTAAGTTTCTAATGGCTTATCAAAATATTTGACCTATGCCAGCAACAAATGGCTGCTGTCACTTTTAATTATGAAGACATTATTAAATATGAAAACAAGGAAAACAAGGAAACAACAGCATCATCATCTTCATCAAAGCTTGTTAAGAATTCATGTTACTCATTTGTCCTTCTTGGTATCCTTTTTGCTTCTTTGCAGGATTATCTCCTTTGTCTCATTGACTTTACTTAACCGAGAAAATGCTCTCCCCATTACCAGCGTTTAAATCATCGTCATCTCCTCTGACTTTGGCGATGCCGCCATTACCATGGTGTGGCTTTAGAATGTTACAACATTAAAATGTCCTGTTTAACAACAATGAGCTGGATCTTTTAATTAACACTTTTTTCGTTTCGGGGAAACATCATCACCAAAGCAACGAACGGAGAAAACCACAGCAAGTAAAACAAAAGCAAAAACCACAGACCCCAGCACAAGGATGAAGGGTCCATCCGACGAAGGTGGTCAGCTGTCAAAAACAACCACAACTACTTCAGAAAAAGCAATGTTAGCATTCATCACAAGTTCGGGTTCTTTATGTGACCAACCGTCCCTTTTTGTGGCCTGATAATCTCCTATTTCTGTTGTTGTCCCTCCGCTTTGGTGGCGTCCTTTTCGTGACGCAAGGGAGAGTGCGGCAGGATTTTGGGAGAATCCAAAAACAATAGCATAACAATAAACTACAGAATCGTTGTTGTCCTTTTGTCAACAACCTTCACTCTCACTTTCTGCAGGACCTAACACACACACATACACATAAACACAATCCGTAAGACGCAAAAATAGCAACATGGGTAGTTTACCTAATTTACATGAGCTGGAGCATTTGGAGCGCAAACGTGAAAAGCGACGAGAGCGTGAAATGCGTGAGAGGCTGGCACGTGAAGCCAGTCGAGAGAGGGAACGTTTGCAGCACAGAAAGGTAAGTGAAGAGAAATAAGTAAATGTAATCAATTCAAAGAGAGCATTGGAGAGAGAATGAAAGAGTTACGATAGTTAAGAGAATTTTAAAATATCTTGGTAATACAGAGATGAGCAATAACGCTAAAGAGAATATTAAAGAGAAAACTAATAGTTAAGTTCAGTAATGTTTCATGATTTATTGTAGATTTTAAAATATAAATGTTTTCTAATATGGTCATTAAAAAATGTATTTGTTAATTTTAATAAGAACAAGTAAAAAAGCAAAAGAGAACTTTGAATACGCTCCATCATTTGGAACGAATTTGGAAATAAAATTATTAAAAACTTCTGTTAATAACTTCTGTCATAAGTCATTACCATATTCCACAGTCATTACCATATTCAAATTCGAAACTTAAAATAAACAGTGAATAATGTAGCTAAAATCGTCAAAATATCGTATATAGGGAGGTACCGTTATATCGGAGCTGTGCGAAGATCTGAACCTGCGTAGACAATTTTTTGTCATATTCTGTAGCATCCATTACGAACTTCAAATACGACATTTCAAACAACTTCGGTGAGTATTGTACCTAAACTCGTCAAAATACCAAATATAGGGAGGTACTGGTATATGGGGCCTATACGAAGACCTGGACCTGCATATACAATTTTCTGTCACAGACTGGAATTTCCATTACGAACTCTAAATGCGTAATTTGAAAAAATTTTGGTGAATAAAGACGCTAAAATCACCAAAATACCGAATATAGGGAGATACTGGTATATGGGGCCTATACGAAGACCTGGACCTGCATAGACAATTTTTTGTCACAAACTGTAGTTCACATTACGAACTCTAAATACGTAGTTTGAAACAATTCCGGTGAATAATGTCGCTAAAATCATCAAAAGACCGAATATAGGGAGGTACCGTTATATGGGGGCTATACGAAGACATGGACCTGCACAGACAATTTCCCGTTTTAGGCTGTAGTATCCATTTCGAATTTCAAATACCAAATTTGAAACAATTCCGGTGAACAATGTCGCTAAAATCATCAAAATACCGACTATCGGGAGGTACCGTTATAAGGGGGCTATATGAATACGTGGACCTACATGGCACACTTATGAACTTAACGTGTCTACTGGAAAAATAAATATGTGTGCAAAATTTTAACCTTCTATTTCAATTCGTTCGAAAGATAGCGTGATTACAACAGACAGACAAACGGAAATCGCTAAATCGACTTAGAACTTTACGCTTGAATTACATCACTATAGCTTCCGAACGAAATGAAGTAGTGTGATAAAATTTTATTCAAATGTATATTATGTCTGCAGGACTTTTTATATTGAAAATGGGCCATGTAGGAGCCCCTTTTCGGTATTTTGGTGACTTAATCGTCATTATCCACCGGAAATGTTTCAAATTTGGTATTTGACGCTAATAATGGATATTACAGCCTATGACAGACGTGCAGGTCCACGTCTTTGTAAAGCCCCCATATAACGGTACCTCCCGACAAAAGTTGGCTATGCAGGTCCACGTCGTCCTATACATACGGCTCTAGTCGGTATTTTTAAAATTTAAACGGAATTTTTAACGGATTTTATTTTTTTTAATTGCAAAATTCGTTCCAAACTATGGAGGGTATTCAAAGTTCGGCCCGGTCGAATTTACAGCTTTTTTACTTGTTGATTTTAGCGACATTACTTACCAGAATTTTTTCAAATATCGTAGTTGAAGTTTGTAATGTGTACTTCAGCCTGTGGCAGAGATTTGTGAATGCAGGTCCACGTCTTCGTACAGCCCCACATAACGGTACCTCCCTATTTTCGGTATTTTGACGCTTTTTTACTTGTTTGCTTTAATGTGGAAGAGAGGGAAACTTGTCCCCTGTATTTAAGTTATTTTGCGATGTAAATTTTTAAAACGCCGATATAAGTATCTTCTATTTTTAGATAAACTTTTATAATCTGCTGGATTTTTTCCTATAATTATTGGAAAAATGAATTGTGTTGCACAGTGTATTTAGAAGTTCTTCAAAAACTAAGAAAACAATAAAAGTTTACAACTCAAGAGAAATTTTTGCTTTTACGCTCAATTCATTAATTCTCACCAGTCCAATTTCTCTTAGTTTTTTAAATCATCAAAAATCCGTGTTAAAATATAATTTGTATTTTTATACCCTCCACCATGGGTAGGAGGGTATATTAACTTTGTCATTCCGTTTGTAACACCTCTAAATATTCGTCGTAGACCCCATAAAGTATATATATTCATAATCAGCATAAAATTCTAAGACGATTTAGCGATGTCCGTCTGTCTGTCTGTCTGTCCGTCTGTCTGTCTGTCCGTCTGTCTGTCTGTCTGTTGAAATTACGATAGAGCCCACATTATTTGACGTAGACCTTTGAAATTTGGCACAAGTGTGTGTATTGTCCCTAGGATGGTTGGTATTGAAAATGAGATATATCGGTCCACGTTCTGGTATAGTCCCCATATAACGGTACCTCCCGATATTCGGTATTTTGATGATTTATGCCACATTTTTTCACAGATTTATCTGAAAATTGGTATTTGTAGGTCATGACGGGTCCCTGAGCGTGTGGCAAAACATTGCATGTATAGGTCCACGTTTTGGTATAGCCCCCATATAACGGTACCTACCGATATTCCGTATTTTGATGATTTATGCCACATTTTTTCACGGATTTGTCTGAAAATTGGTATTTGTAGGTCATGACGGGTCCCTGAGCGTGTGGCAAAACATTGCATGTATAGGTCCACGTTTTGGTATAGCCCCCATATAACGGTACCTACCGATATTCGGTATTTTGATGATTTATGCCACATTTTTTCATGGATTTGTCTGAAAATTGGTATTTGTAGGTCACAACGGGTCCCTGAGCGTGTAGCAAAACATTGCATGTATAGGTCCACGTTCTGGTATAGTCCCCATATAACGGTACCTCCCGATATTCGGTATTTTGATGATTTATGCCACATTTTTTCACTGATTTGTGTAAAAGTTGGTATTTGTGGGTCATAATGGGTCCTAGCTCGTGTGGCGAAACATTGTAATTATAGGTGCACGTGTTGGTGTAGCCCCTATATAACGGTACTTCCCGATATTCGCATTTTAATGTTTTTTGCCACATTTTTTCTAATGTTCTTTTACCCTAGGGTGGAGGGTATTAAAAGTTTGGCCCGGCCGAACTTAATGTTTTTTTACTTGTTTTTTTTGTAATAATTTGATTTATTAATAATTCTGGATAACATCCCAGTTTAAAAACAATTGAAATGAATGGATGAATATTAAGAAGAATTTAATTATTATTTTCTCTTAAATAATCTCTTTTTTTGTCTCATGTGATAGCACACGGTTTTGAGCAGTGCTGCTTAAAATAAATTTAATATTTATCTCTCCCCCCCTCTCTCTCCTTTACTCTCTCTCTCTCTCTCTCTTAGCATATCTTATTACACTCCCTTAAATGCATCTACTAATTTATATTTTCTCTTTTGATTTCAGCAATCCTCATATAACCCATATCTAATGGCGGGCCTGGGTATGGGCGGTAGTATGGCGCCATATAACACAGCAATAGCAGCAACTGGTGGTGCCGCGGCAAGTGGTGGTGCCCTGCCCGTTGGTGGTGCAGCATTGCTTAGCTACGGCCTGGGTGCTGGACACAAACACCATGGACACCAACATCAACATTATTATCGTCATTCATTGACTAACCGACATCGGGTGCTGCGAACACGCAGCTCGGGTGCAACACACAATGTTTGGGATGATCAGGTTCTGGAGGTGAGTGGTGGCGAAAAGGAAAATACTGTTACTGTGCCGATGATGCTGGGTTAAAGTAAAAGTTTTGTTTTGGAGAGTTCCACGAAATTTATGAATGAAATCGGAAATAAACAAAGAAAACTTGTTTTCGTGTTCCCACGTCAGAGTTTTGAATATTTGTATGTATGTGTGTTTGTTTGAAACAAGTTTTCTGATGCAATGGCATAGTTGGCCCAGCGCACCTCCTACATGGTAGAAGTTTAGTAATGGGAAATTGATAGCTGAAAAAAAAAAACACATTTAAACCCCAAGGATATTAAACGGATATTATTAAATTTGAATGCTGGTAATAATTTGTGTGGGAAGTTCAACAAGGGAAAACTTCATCAGAAATATTATTTTCTATTTTTAGATGCAATCACAAGGGGGTAATAAGTGCAGGCATGAGTGTCAAATAAGTATAACTTTCATAAAGTGATAATTTTATGGCATACTTTTAGGCATGTAACATATTTTTGCTGGGAATTTGGTGGTAATGTAATTGGAGTAAATATAGTAATGTGGCTAGAAAAGATTAGCCAGAAAATGTAAAACTAGCAAGTTGAACCTATTTCAAAGCCATCAGTTTGAAGAGATCCTATTTCTTATTCCCTTTAGCCTTTTTGATACGGAGGGTATGTATCATTTAATGCGTCCCATTTGATGTGCCCCCACGATATCAGTAAAAATTGGGACACGATCTGGCGATATCCGACCCTCTGCCTGGTACGATTTAGCTTAAAAATTTAACTTCAAAATTTCCTTCTCCACTGGAAAATAATCAGTATCAATCACATTATTGATGTATATATGCAAAAGAGTAGTGAAATGTCCGATTGGTTTTTAGAATCCTCACTAAAAGGAAGAAGAGTCAGTGGAAGATTGTGGGATAGATGTACAACAGAGTTTTTATACCCTCCACCTTGGAAAGGAGGGTATACTAACTTTGTCATTCCGTTTGTAACATCCTTAAATATTCGTCTTAGACCCCATAAATATATTCATAATCATATTCATAATCAGCATAAAATTCTAAGTCGATTTAACGATGTCCGTCTGTCTGTCCATCTGTCTGTCTGTTGAAATCACGATACAGCCCACATTATTTGACGTAGAGCGCCAAAATTTAGCAGAGCTATTTGTATTGTGTCTAGGATGGTTGGTATTGAAAATAAGATATATCGGCCTACGTCCTGGTATAGTCCCCATATAACGGTACATCCCGATATTCGGTATTTTGATGATTTACGCCACATTTTTTCACGGATTTGTCTGGAAATTGGTATTTGTAGATCAAAACGGATCCCTGAGAGTGTGGCAAAACATTGCATGTATAGGTCCACGTTGTGGTATAGCCCCCATATAAAGGTGCTCCCGATATTCGGTATTTTAGTGTTTTTGCCACATTTTTTCACGGATTTGTCTAAAAATTGGTATTTGTGGGTCATAATGGTTTCCAGCTCCGGTGGCAAAACATTGCATGTATGGGTCCTTGATTTGGTATAGCCCCCATATAACGGTACCTCCCGATATTCGGTATTTTGACGATTTTTGCCACATTTTTTCACGGATTTGTCTAAAAATTGGTATTTGTTGGTCATAATGGGTTCCAGCTTCGATGGCGAAACATTGCATGCATGGGTCCATGATTTGATATAGCCCCCATATAACGGTACCTCCCGATATTCGGTATATTGATGGTTTTTGCCACATTTTTTCACTGATTTGTCTAAAAATTAGTATTTGTGGGTCATAATGGGTCCTAGTTCGTGTAGCGAAACATTGTAATTATAGGTCCACGTTTTGGTGTAACCCCCATATAACGGTATATCCCGATATTCGGCATTTTAATGGTTTCTTTCTTCTAATGTTTCTTTTACCCTAAGGTGGAGGGTATTAAAAGTTTGGCCCGGCCGAACTTAATGTTTTTTTTTACTTGTTGGTAATTCGAACATTAAAGATACGAAAAGTTCTAATAAGGTACTAAACTTCTAAAATGGTACAATTTGGAATTATGTGAACGAATAGAGCCAATCGCTTGAACTTTGATATGAAAATCAAGGTTGGAAAGTAAGTTTGATGTATAAAGGGTGATATAAAAAAACTACAACAGCAGTTTCCATTTTTTTAAGTTTATTGAATGAAATCAAAACATGTCGGAAATAGCATCAAATTTTAGAATAAGTTTAGGTTCATTCGAATTGGTCACCTTTGGCACGAATTATGCCCTTCAAACGGCCAATGAAACCGTCACACGCTGCCCGAATATTGATCTGCGGTATTTTGCCCCATTTCCGGCGAGCGCTTGCTTGAGGTTATCGACGCCTTGGTATTTTTTAGTTCCAACCTTGCTTTCCAAAATACTCCAGACACAATAGTCCAACGTATTGGTATCCGGAGATTTGGTAGCCATTGTGCGCTGGAAATGAAGCGATGAACCTCATTTTGTAACCATTCTTGGGTGGCGCGTTTTGAGTGCAATGGTGCTGAGTCCTGTTGGAATATCCCAAGTCTGCGGCCAAAATGTTTGCGTGCCCAAGGCTTTAATACATCCTCCAGAATATTTTCGGGATAATATTCATCATTAATTCTAATGCCACGATCGATTAATACGAGCGGAGAGCGACCTTGGGTAGTTATGGCGGCCCACACCATCACCATGACCGGTGCTTGAGTTCTGGTGGCCAACCGAAGGTGCACATTTGCAGCTGACCTCTTTGGCAAGTAAACAGGTTTCGATCAAGTCGCTTCTTTACTTTTCGAACCATTTCTGCTGATGTTGCTGTTTTCTTCCGTCCACTTTCTTGACGTCGGGCTACGCTACCAGTGCCACGGTAACGAGCGATGGTACGAGACACAAAGGATTTATTCACTTTAAATGCTGAAGTGCTCTAACGATAGCCACTTGTGGTTTTCCAGCCAAATATAAAGAAATCGCACTATCGCGTTTGAATTGCATGACGAATAACTTTTTTCTGGAAAATTCTCACCAAAATGCTATTGTACGCTTGTAAACAATATAATGAGCTATAACTGGAACGGACGAGTGGCTTAAAAATGACAGCAGTCTTAAATTTGTTGCAGTTTTTTCATCTCACCCTGTATATTGGAGTGGTTTTGGAAATTTGTACTAAGTGCGCGAACTCTTCTAAATGGTACTGAATTTGGAACAGTTTGGCTTAGGGTGAACGGGTGAAGCTGTAATTTGGAAATTTTGTATTACGGTCCCTGTTGGTGGTAAGAGGTGGTTGTGATTAAGAGGTGGTTGTGAATATGTGTACTACAAGTGCACGAATAGTACTAAGTAATACAGTGCTGGTACAATTTTGTATTGAGTTAACAGATAGTGCTTGAAATCTGAAATTTGGTATTAGGGTCATTGTTCATGTGTAGTTTGGACATATGGAGGTGATTTCGGAAATGTGCCCAATAATTGTATGAAAAGTACTAAATGGTACTGTATTTGGTATTGGGTAAAGGGATAGAGCTGGATTCCTCAAATTTGATATTGAGGTCTCTGCTGATATCTGAAATTGAAATATGGAAGTGATTTTGAAAATGTGTACTATATTGGTACGAACAGTACTAAATTAGGTATTCGGTAAAGGAAGGAAGTTGAAATCCTGAAAATTGATAAAGATCTCACTGATAGTGTCTGTGGTTAAGATATGGAAGTAGTTTTGAAAATGCGTACAATAATTGTACTAAATTGGGTATTGGGTATAGACTTAGAGCGGGAATCCCGAAATTTGATATTGAGGTCTCTTTAGGTGTCTGGTATTGTCTTGAAAGTGCGTATTTTAAGAGCAAGGAAAAGTACTAAATTTGGTAATGGGTAAAGGGATCATGAAATTTGATATGGATGTGGGATGAATGAGAGAAGGAGCTGGTTTTACTATACTACTATAATTGTACCAAATTTAGTCCAGCAATGGTACCATTTAGTACAAGTAAATATAGTACGCATATCCTAAACCATTTTCTTCTCCTGACCACTGATATCAATAGTGACATCCATATCTAATTTCGGGGGGATATTACAAATCGGAAATCCTGAAATTTTACATTAAACCCACTCTTGGTATCTGAGGTTGACATATGTAGATTGATTTGGAAATGTGTAGTATAATTGTTCGAAAGAGCTTGAAGCTACCAAATTTGATTTTGAATGAAGGGATGGGACCTCCAGGCTAAATTGCAGACTTTTAAAGATATTGCCTTCCTGAATTGCATAGTTTTGCAAATTTTCCAAAGACATCATGGAAGGCATGGTTTTAAATACCTTTTTCTAAGGGTCCTCTTATCGATAATCTTGGAATAAGAAAGACTTCTTGACAAAAAAAAAAAAATCAAAAATAAATCAAGAACTTCCCCTCACAAATTAAAAGTAACTTCTGATGTTAGCTATTTTAAAGTGAAATACGTAGATTCAAAATGGGGACACGAGAATTCTATTCTGGTCTTACTTTCACATTCACATTTTGCCAAAAACAACACTTATTTAAAACAATCTTGAACGGTCAAAAAGCACAAAGGGTCTCCTTACATCAGGGCCTGGTTAGTGTGCCTTCAATGAGCTTAATTTTCTCCACACTCAAACGCAGAGCCATTTTAAAACAATGCAATCAGAGAGTAAAAAAATTTGGAGAGCATTGATGTGCGACTCTCTCCCGGCCCTGCCTTAAATAATACTATTTCTTTTTTTTTTTTGGAATAAGGTAATTAAAGTTCTTGATTATCTCTCTCTCTCTCTCTCTCATATCTCATTCCAGCACCTGCCAGCCTATTCACCCATATCGACCAGATCACATCGTGTGAATCCAGTTTCGTCATATCATGTTCAGGCCGCATTGGCAGCATCGAGACGTCGAGAATCAATCAACAGCTCCATAGGTGCCACCTCGATAAGACGTCTAATTTCGCTAAACAATCGCAATTGCCGTTACAAAGTGCCGGCCCATGTACGTCAGAAGGTGACGAAATGTTTCACTCTCTTGGCACTGGCCCACGGTCTAATGTGTGCGGTGTTGGTGCCAATCTTTGGCCTGCAAGGCTCCAACTCAGTGTGGCATCATCGAGAACAATGGCTGCAAGTTGGACCCAATATCGGATCACTGCTCCTCAGTATTTGTTTGTTCATATCGGCGGGTATGTCGTTGGTAACCCCAAAGCTTATTCGCAAATTTGGCTACACCATTTTGATGGGAGTCAATTATGTGGCTGTGTGTTTATTTTTAATATGTCATCTGTATCCATCGATTTACACCCTACTGCCGGCATACATTATCCTGGGTATAACCCACAGTCCTTCGTGGATAAGTAAAATTGCTGTTGTCGTGCATTTCGGCAGCAAACTGAGTTGTTCGCAGCATGAGTGCACATTGATGTCGTCGCATGCCTTGGACTCGTGGGAGGAACATAAGCTATCCTGTAATCGTGATCAAAAAGTTCGTAGGTTAGGTCGCTGGATCCAGGCCTCTAAGGATATTGGTATAATACTGGGAGCCATAATTGCCTCCATGGTCTTGTCCTGCACATCGAGGGATTGGAATTGTTTGGGCCACACAAAACCGATTACAACCACACCAGCAACAACGTCGACGACAACAACAACAACCGTTACCCCCAGCACAACGGAAACAGCACCGGTGTCTGCGGTACCGAACAACACCTCACCCCACGCCCAGGCTGTACAGTTCTATATACCCAGTACACCCTATGTCTGGAGTCGGGGTTCGCCATACAAAAGCGAATATTACAATTTGGATGAGCATGGTAGTCGCATATGTGGGGCCGATATGTGTCCCCTTTGGCAATATGATGCAGCTGCCGAAGATGATGAAATCAACGAGACCATCTTCTCGCCCTTTATACGGGAAAAGCCTCGGGCCGGATCATCAACCCTGATTGGCATTTATTTAATATTTGCCTTGATTTCAGTGATACTTCTGGTACTGGCCGGCAAGGTACAGGCCACCTTTCGTCATGAACGCATCAAGGGTATGACGGATACGCTGCTGTTTGCGGGACCCCTGGCGTATTTTATTGGCACGGAACAGGCCTATATACTAAGTGATTTCTTGACGGTAAGTGGGGGGAGTTATGAAGGGTCTTTTGTTTGCGAAATTAATGAAATAATTTTATTCTTTTTAGGCCTTTGTCTCTTGCTCTTTGGGTATAAGTATGGTAGCAGGAGCTATTATTGGAATGGGAGTAATGCAGCTAATTGTCTCCTGCACATTGAGCATGCTGTTGCGGCACACAAAACGCATTGTGGTCATATGTAAGTGGTACAATTTTTAATCCTTTCAATAAATGTTTCCATCAAAGACGTAGTATCTATAATAACACCTTATGCAAACACCAGTTTGGGCGCCACTTAATATAACATGTATGTCAACGACCTTGTTAAAATAGCACTGATCTTTGAAACTTCTCATAGAATTTGTCTTAGTGGATCTTATAAATGTTTTGTCTTCAAGGTAAAGAGTGAAATACACTGTGCAACACAAAAAATAATTACCGGGAAAATCCAACAGAATTTAAAAGTAGAGCTAAAAACAGTAGACACGTACATCGGCGATTTAATAGTTTACATAGCAAAATAACCTAAATAGAGAGGGCATGTTCTGGTTTTCACTAATCACTTTCTGAGACGTTTTATGCATGTCCGTCTGTCTGACCGTCCGTCCGTCTGTCCATGTATTTTTGTCAACAAAGTACAGGTCGCATTTATTGTCTGATTGAGCGGAAATTGACACAAATCATTTGTTTGGCCCAAGGTTGAACCCTATTGAAATTGTTGATAATATCATCATATATATTGGGTAAGATTTCAACTTTTGATGTCTTCTAGGAAATAAAGTAGAATTTAATGACACATAATTTTGAAGAATATTTTGACTTGCTACGGTTAAGGGATTTTTAACCATATTATTAAAAAAGTACAAAAAGACCTCTTTGGTAAAACACTAGAAAATTAAATGTGCCGACTAAAATTATTCTTGTGTTTAAAATCAGCGATTTTCAAGGAATCTTAATACGAAAATTTCAAAAATTGTGGAGGAGGGGGGGGGGGGACATCCCCAAACCTTCAAAACAAATGTACACAAAAATACGTCACCTAATGCCTCACATGAATAGGAAACCACATGTTAAATTTCTACACTCTAACCCTGAATGTACCTCGTTTAGTGCTAATTCCGAAAAGAACTGTCCTTTCTGAGGCTCCACATTAATTGTGCCCTACACGAGCTCTTCGGACTTTATACAATCATTCCAACTTCGAACATAATTTATAACTTTTTAATGATCAAAGCCGTTGATAATTTAGGTTTACTATACCCTCGGCGATATGGCTAAAAATACGGCCAAAACGTGCCTCATCGAAATAACGGTTTTAGGCCCTAGGTCTCTTTAGACCAAATACGTTTTAGGACATTTAGAATCAATCTAACGATGGCAGACCATACATCTGTCTCTCTGGCTGGCTGTTACGCACGATAACTCTCGAAGGGAGTATGCGATTTGGTCCCAACTTGGCACATCGTAATATTATTATCTCTAAGTGTGATAATAAGATGGGCAATATCGGTCCACTCCTTCTGGTTACTCCTCCACAAAACATCAAAATTTTCAAAAAAAAAACAATTTAAAAAGCCGTAAGTTCGGCCGGGCCGAACTTTGAATACTCTCCACCATTTGGAACAAATTTAAAAATTTTCAAAAAATAAAATCCTTAAAATATGTTGTTTAAAATTTAAAAATTTTATTGGGGTCTATACGACGTGGACCTACATAGGCATTGTTTGTCATAAGCCATTACAATATTCAAATTCGGAAACTTGAAATAAACGGTGAATAATGTAGGTAAAATCATCAAAATATCTTATATAGTTAGGTACCGTTATATCGGTGCTGTGCCAAGACCTACCCAGCATAGACAATTTTCTGTCATTTTTTCTGGCTATATCATAAATTACGAAGTTCAAATACGACATTCCAAACAATTTCGGTGGGTACTGTACCTATACTCGTCAAAATACCGAATATAGGGAGGTACTGATATATGGGGCCTATACGTTCGAAAGATGGCGTTATTACAAGAGACAGACGGACAAACAGACATACGGACATCGGTAAATCGACTTAGAATTGTACGCGGATCAAGAATATATATTCTTTGTCTGACATGAGTATTTCGTTTGGTGCGAAAATTTACAATATTGGTCCTCTACATCAAGTACCTCCCCCACAATGGGTCAATATTTTGAATAATTATAACTTTTATAAGATGTGATGTAAGAGTCCGATTGTCTTTAAACTACACATATCCCAATATTTTTCATTAACCGATGGTCTGATGTGAAGATGGAATATATGGGTCCACCCCTTCAGGTACCTCCCCCACAAAGGGTCAAAGTTTTAAAATTCCATGAAGCTCATAAAACGCGAAATTAACATACGATTCTATACAGATTTGACACACCTCAATATTTCCATCAACACAAGATCTGTTAAAAAGATGGTAGTGATCGGACCTCTCCCTCTAGTACCTTCCCCACAAAGGTTCAAAGTTTTGAATAACTAAAACGATTATAAAATCCGAAATAATTATTGAGATTCGATCAGATTTGGATATAGCCGCCATATATATCTTCAACCGATTTCGGGTTAATTGTGCGCCAAATGGCCAATATCAGTTCTAATGACCTAAATTTTGGTACATCCGATCGAATTCAGTTTAGAAGCAAGTACATTAAATTTGGATAAAATGGGTTCAGATAGTGCTATAGCTGCCAAATATATGTTTCATCCGATTTGACGTTTAAGTCCCTCATATTCGTAATATGCATTCGACAACAAAGATGTTTGGTGCAATATATCTTATAGAGCTCAGAAATACTTTTGTCAATTTTTATCGAAAACGACTAAGGTTTGGATATAGCTCCCATACGTATCCTTAATCCGTTTTCAGGTTTATTGTGCAAATAAGGGCTAATATTAACTAAAATGAAGTTAATTTCGGGACGTACGTTTCCCTTTTTTGGAACTCAGCACCGATATATATTTATACCCTACACCACAAGGTGGTCAGGGTATTATGTCTTTGTGCATTTGTTTGTAACAGGCAAAGGAGAACGAGATAGACCCATACTTCCTTTTAAGGATCTGCATAGAATCACATTCTGAGTCGATTTATGTATGTCCGTCCGTTCGTCTGTCCATGTATTTTTGTAAACAAAGTACAGGTCGCATTTATTGCCCAATCCAGGTGAAATTTTGCACAAATCATGTGTTTGGCCCAAGGACGAACCCTATTGAAATTGGTGATAATCGGTCAAAATTTAGATATAGCTCCCATATATATCTTCGTCCGATTTGACTTTTATTGTGCACCAAACGTGTAATATCCGTCCGAATTGTATGAAATTTTGCATATACACCCAAATTAGGCCTGAAAATAAGTATGCCAAACTTGATCGGTTCAGATATAGCTATAGCTCCCATATATATTGTTCATCCGATATGTTATTTTTGTCCACCGCCGCCGTAATATGCACTCTACAACAACAATATTTGGGGAAATATATCAAATGCAGCTCAGAAATACATCTGCTAAATTTTATCGAGATCGGTTCAGATTTGGATGTAGCTCCCATATATAACTTCGTCCGATTTACCTTTTTTTGTGCACCAAACGTCTAATATTTGTCCAAATGGGATGGAATTTGACACTTGCGACCGAATTGAGTCTAGAAGGTAGTATGTCAAATTTGGTGAAGATCGGTTCAGATATAGGTATAGCTCCCATATAAACTGTTCATCCGATTTGTTATATTTGTTACCCACAACCGTAGTATGCACTCCGTAACAACGATATTCAGGGAAATATATCAAATACAGCTCAAAAATATCTTTGCCAAATTTTATTGAGATAGGTTCAGATTTGGATATAGCACCCATATATATCTTTATCTGATTTCAAATTAATTGTGCACCAAATGGGCAATACAATTGCAGGGTATCACCAGCCCGACTTTTGACTTTTCCTTACTGGCTTTATCTGTATTAGATGTAGCAGGAAAATGGAATACTTCGGTCGACTATATCTGGTACCTCACGCACATGTTAACATTATCTAAAAATTATCACACATTCATATAAATTGAAGGAAGTAGTCCATATAGTCCAAACCTGACAAGTCGCAGTGCTTATATCATATTTATTTATGTCCGATACGAAATGGACAATATTGAACGATTCCTTCGGAATCGTAACAGAATCAAAATATATTTAAATCGAACTCTGACTGAGGGTATACATCTGTCGGCAAAACCGACTGATACTTTTTAACTCGATTTTCTTCTGTCTTAATTATAACCCATTTTAATAATTCATATTTCTTTTTCCATTTCAGTGGCCGGTTTCTTTTTCCATTCCTGCCTGCTGTTGGCTCTCTCGACCTGGAAACCCTCGAGTGACGACAGTGCACTCTTCTATGTGCTAGCTGCCTCATGGGGTGCTTGCAATGGCATGTGGGAAACTCTGTTGCTTGCCTTGGTCACCCTGAATCACACCAATCATGTTGTAGAAGTCACATCACCACTGCAAGCTCTGCGATTCTTAGGACTGGGCATAACATTTGCCGCTCACGGTTACATGTGTGAAACGCCGAAAATTATATCACTCGTCATCATGCTAGTTGTGAGTGTGCTGCCGTATGCAATGCTGGAAATTCGACTGGAGTCACAGCGCAAAGCCCAGCTGATTTCGTTATGACGTAGTCTATTCACATAGTCCCGGAGGCACAGTGTGATGGCTCGTACACACACCATGTGAGGTGGCGGAGAGGAGGAGAAGAAGGTGGATTAGCAATTTCAGTTTTTGTTGTGTTAATGAGCATCACACATACACACACACACAAGAAGAGAAAATATAAAAATTAATTTGTAATTTAGTGACTTTTTGTATTTAGAAATATAAAGTGCAATAACCATTTAAGAAACAAATGCGACAAAGAATGATAATGGAAATGGGCATTTCCAAAGATGAAATAATTTCATTTGAGTTAGCAAAAAATAATTTGCTTAAAATCTAACATAAAGGGATTATTACTCCCGCCTCCCCCCAGACAAAACAAAACAAAAAAATTGGCTGTAAATTTAAAATAATTAATTAAAAATGCTACACATTTCAGTGTAGAATGCCAAATAAAAGAATCTGAATTACTCTGATGAAGATCAAAAAAAGTTTATTTTTTAAAATTAGCTATTAAGACGATGAAGGAGAGGTGGAAGAAAACACATATTGAACAATTGCAAGAAATAGATATACGTATTTTATTTATGTATAGAAGATATTGAAATAACTCACTAACACACATAACACGCACACAAGTCTGTCATTTTCTTTTTTTTCAACAAGTATAATGTTAGTACTTAAATTGAACGACCTTCGAAAAATTTTTAAATTTTAATTTGAATTTCTACCAACCAAATTCCAGTAGTAAATTGGGAACTTCAAAACCTTCTTATGTTGTGTCGTACATTCCAAGTGTATTATTAGACTTATTTGAAATTTCCCCAGAGCTAATCATTTTCTGCAACCTTTAAAGCAGTTAAAGTAGAGTAGAAAGACCTTATGACGCTTCCTACAAAAGATATGTTATCTACACAATATCTCCATAGAAACCTTTTCCCATGGAAATCTGTTAAACTCCCTATAACACCTCAAGAAATCCAATGAAAAAATACCCCTGGAGTGTTTTATGTCCAGGGAATCTTCTTCTTTCCAAAAAAAAAAAAAAACATCATCTCATGAGGCTTTCTTTCCATATGGGTTCTCCATAGAATACCTTTTTGATGGATTTTTTGTTCAAAAAATGACCTCTCAAAGGGGCAATGTTTACAAAGAAAACGAAGGTAGCTTCAGTTTAGAAGAATTCTCTTCAAACATTTTATTCCCAAAGTAGGGGTCGCGGAGGTGTCTACTTTCATAGAAGAACTCTCTTTTCCCTGCTTGAAGGGTGATATTTTTAAGGGGATTTTTCATCAATAGGGGGTAGTTTTTAGACCCAACAAATATTTTTGATCGGCATAAAATTCTAAGTCGATTTAGACCTGTCTGTCCGTCTGTTGTAATCACGCTACAGTCAAAACGAATTAAGATAGGAAGCTAAAATCTTACACAAATCTGTTTTTTGTCTGCAAGCAGGTCAAGTTCGAAGATGGGCTATTTCGGTGTACGATATCGTATAGCCCCCATACAACGGTACCCCCGATATTCGGTATTTTGATGATTTTAGCCCCATTCTTTTAATGAAATTATCTGAAATTCTACACAAGAAGTTATTTGTGAGTACTTTACCTCATGCAAGAGAATTGGGCATATAGGTCCACTATATCGTATATCACCCATATAACGGTAGCCCCCATATTCGGTATTTTGATGATTTTAGCCACATTTTTCAATGGAATTGTTTAAAATTGTACACAAGAATTCTACGTGACTTCCTTACCCCCTGGAAGAGAATAGTTTATTTAGGTTCACGATATCGTATATCCCCTATATAACGACACTTTCAGATATTCGGTATTTTTATGATTTTAGCCCTATTTTTCAGTGGAATTGTCTCAAAATCCACACATGGAGTTCCCCTGGAAGAGGTCTATATAGGTCCACGATATCGTATGACCCCCATATAACGGTAACCCCAATATTCGGTATTTTTCCCCCACACAAGGGTTCGGCCCGGCCGAACTTATCTTCTTTATTACTTGTTTCCCATAAAATATCTCTCAAGTGATAGACAGAATGTTTCTTAAGGGACATTTTTTTCCATGAGAGACCTCTTAAGGGAACTTTAGTTTTTTTCTCTAAAGGTCTGCTTTAGGGAATCTTTTATCCTTTAAATGTACTTAAAATATCCTTAAGCGATATTTGTATCATAAGTGGTCATCTTTACGTAAAGGACCTCTATAGGGGTCTTGTTTAACATGAATATCTTTAAGATAGGCCTTTTACAAAAAAGGCCGCTTTAGCGACCCTCATTTTAAGGAAAAACTATTAAAATAGGTCAAATTTCCATAGAATAATTTTTTATTAAAAAAACACTTAAGGGGGTTTTCATGACGTAAGATGACATCTTTTCATAGAAGGCATGCCTTCATAGGAGCCTTCATGAAGAGTGATCCCTTCATTTCCCAAGGGGTCTTTGTTTTATAAATATTGGACAGTTTTTTCTATAAAACATCTCTCAAGAGGCTTTCAATCTGCTTTTTATGAGCCTTTTTCCCATGAAATGTCCTTAAGATATCCTTAAACAATCTTTCCACAAAAATACCGCCATTACATTGAAGACTCTTTAGGTGTCTTCTTTCCATAGAAGACTTCTTAAGAAGGGGAATTTTTAAAAAGGGTATTTTCCGTAGAAGACTACCAAAGATAGCCGTCATTAGATAGAAGGTGGCTTCTTTTCACTTTTTAAGGCGATTTTTCATGGGAGACTGCTTAAGGCGAGCTGTAAAAGCGCAATTTTTCCGAAGGGAATATTCTTTCATTGAAAGACCACATTGCAAATTTTCTTTGGACACACGAAATATGTGTGACTTCTTAAGGAGTCTTTCTCTCATTAAAGGCAACTTTGATAAGTTTCTTTCCACAAAATACCTCTTCCTTCAAAATGACCCGCCTATAGGGGATATTCTTTATATAAAATTCTTTGAGAATCCTTCTTTCCACAAGTGGAAAGAGGAATCCCTCCAAAAATCTCCTCTTCCCATATCAGTGGGACCCTTTTGTTCAAAGTAGACTTCTTAAAACTTCTACTAACAGAAAACTATATCATTGAAATAAGATTTTCTACGATTGAAAATCAACAGGTAGAGGACTACTTTACATTTAATCAATGGATAATGTATGTAGAGGGAAAATTTTGTAGGAGGTCTTCCAAAGATCGAAGATCAGTAAGGTTGAAATCTACATCTATTGGACTTATGACAAGGTGTACTGCAGATAAAAAACTTATTTGTGCCTCTTTAAAACTGTTTCTTAAAAGTTACTTTCTATCGGAACGTTCTCCAAATTAGAAGTCATCTTAACGTGACTTTTTATTGAGGCCTTAACAGGACCATTTCTATATATGCTTTGGACCTCTCAGGTAAATTTTATCTCTATCTGAGTTGTGGACTTGTACGCCAAGAAAAATTGATCTTATAACTATGAAGGACATATTAAAAGACCATTTCTTCTTTAAAAGATCCTGTATTATTATTATTGTTATTAAAAAAATTATTATTTATTTATTAAGAAAGACCTATTGCCCAGTCTTGTGACTACCTATTTCGATTGTCCTTGCATAGAAAGGAAAACTTTTAAATATATATGATTGGAATACCTTCGAATTTCCTCGTGGACTCTATGTCCCTTTGGGTCAAACGCTTTTGAGGAAATTTGAAGTCGGTCTAAAGGTTTCCCTTCGTCCGTCTGTCTGTCTCTCTATGTGGAAGGTGCGCACAATAACTCTCGAAGTGAATATTCGACTTGATCCAAACCTGGTACATCGTAATATTTTTATCAATGGGTTATGGGGAGATGGGTTACATCGGTACGTTATACCTTCTGGTACCAACATAAGTTCAAATTTTCAAAGAAATTATTTTATCTCTTCAAAATTTACCTTTTCCAATATTTTAATTAACGCAAATTCTGATGTGAGAATGATAGATATCGGCCTACTGAGTCTGAGGGTACTGATACTTTTTAAGTTATTTTTCAGTCAAAGTTGTTGCCATCGCTTCCTAAACTAATGGGAAAACCCATTAAATACAATACCTGGATTGTTCACAAGAATATTTACTAGTTAGTTTTGGCAGACATTTGTACACATACACCCACACACACAACAAACACATGTATATCAGTATTACAACAAATGTTAACATTTTATAAAAGAAACAATTTAGAATTAATTGAAAATAATAGCAAGTAAATTTTTAGTTTTAACAAAAAAAAAAAAAAAAACAATTTCAACGAAATTAAACAAAATAAAATAATACTTAAATACTATTCATTTTGTAACTTTTATTTTTTTTTACAATAATTAATGGTTTCGCCATATTAACTATTTTAAGAATTTTAATTCAAGTTCTCTGTATTTGTTGTACCTTTACAGCAATACATCTCATAATTTCGTTCTATACTCGTAAATAGCCTTTTTTGTAATATAATATGTTATTGAATAATTCTTAGCCATTTTGATGCTGGGTGATGTTATGCTACAAGGTCTATGACATGACAAGCCATTCAGAACGCGATTTAATGAAAATGTTACCAATTTTAATGTCCAATTTGCTGCTGCAACGGATAGAATATTTTATTTTACTTCTAGGAATTTCTATGGCGGGTATACAGGGTTGTCCATATTCGACGGACCCATCTGGCAACGCCATAAGTTTTGACTGAGATGTCACATCACTTAATGACATACCGCGTTTGAAGCGTCAGTCCAAGCAGATTATTACAATGAACCAATACACGCGCTTTGAAATAGTTGAAATTTACATTCAACAGAAGAAGTCAATTGTGAAAACTCAACGTGCTTTTAAAACATTAAAAAATGTGAGAAGTGCGCCTTCTAAGAACACCATTAAGCGTTTATACGAAAAATTTTCGACTGGTAAGGCTCTTTCTAATCCGAAGAGGCCATATAAAAGTCGACCAAGGCGATCGGCCAAGAATATCGGTGCCGTACGAGCCAGTGTTGAGAGGTTCCCAAGAACATCCCAAAAACGCCGTTCTCAGCAGTTGGGCATGGCTCGGTCCACTTTACAGCGGATTATTCGCATTGATTTGCATTTGATCCCGTACAAAACTCAATTGAAGCAAAGAATGTTGCCTGCGGGCAAGCCTCGTCGATTGAAATGGGCCCAAAGAGTCATGGGTCCGTCGAATATAGGCAACCCTGTATTAACTATTTCATTTGTAACTCCTCGAAATATTTATTATAGACCCTTTAAAGTATATATATTCTGGATCAGCGTTAAATTCTAAGACGATCTACGACGATCTTGGTATTTGAAGTTTGTAATGGGTACTACAGCCTATGACAGAAAATTGTTTATGCAGGTCCATGCCTTCGTATAGCCCCCATATAACGGTACCTCCCTATAGTCGGCGACATTGAATATGAATATTGTAATGGCTTATGACAAAGGTTACCTATGCAGGTCCATGTCGTCGTATAGACGACACGGTATTTTTAAGATTTTAACATAATTTTTAACGGATTTTATTGTTTTTGATAATTGTCAAATTCGTTCCAAATGGTGGATGGTATTCGAAGTTCAGCCCGGCCGAACTTACAGTTTTTATACCCTCCACCATACTATGGAGGGTATATTAATCTGTCTGTCTGTCTGTCCGTCTGTCTGTCTGTTGTAATCACGCTATCTTTCCAACGAATTGAGATAGAAGGCTAAAATTTTTCATACATCAATTATTAGTAGGCAGGTTAAGTTCGTAAATGGGCCAAGTCGGTATACGTCTTCGTATAGTCCCCATTTAACGGTAGCTCCCGCTATTCGGTATTTTCATGATTTCAGCAACATTATTTACCGGAATCGTTTCAAATTGCGTATGTAGGTCTACGTCTTCGTATAGCCCCTATATAACGGTACTTCCCGATATTCGGTATTTTCATGTTTTTAGCGACATTATTTATCGGAATTATTTCAAATTTCGTATTTGAAGTTCTACAGCCTATGACAAAAATTTTAGTATATAGGTTCACGTCTTCGTATAGTCCCCATGTAGGGGTTTTCAATTAAGTGGTAGTTTTCGGAATTTTTTTGAAAAATTTCAAGTTCCTTTCAAGTGGTGGAGTGGTGGAATTTAGCTGTTTTATTACTTGTTTTTGTTGCTTTCATATTTTGAGTTTTAAATGAATAATCCAGTTTTTTTAAATGTTTCAAATTAAGTAATATAGTTTTTACAAAGTAAAAGAGTCTTAAATTTGTGTATTTTGAGTTGTTGTTGGAGGACCGTGCATTAAATACAGGGTGAGATAAAAAAAAACTGCAAATTCAAACGACATAATTTTTACATTTTGTTTTTTAAATTTTATTGAACTAAAGCAAAAAAATTTAGAGTAAATTTAAATTTGTTCGAATTGGTCATCTTTTGTCCGAATTATGGCCTTCAAACGGCCAATGAAACCGTCACACGCTGCCCGAATGTTGCTCTGAGGTATTTTGGCCAATTCCTGGTGAAGCGCTTGCTTGAGGCGATCGACGCTTTGGTATTTTTTAGTGCCAACCTTGCGTTCCAAAATACTTCAGACACAATAGTCCAACGGATTGGTGGCCATTGTGCGCTGGAAATGAAGTCATTTTGTAACCATTCTTGGGTGACGCGTGCTGAGTCCTGTTGGAATGTCCAAGGTCTGCGGCCAAAATGTTTGCGTGCTCAAGGCCTTAATACACCCTCCAGAATATTTTCGCCATAATATTCGGCATTTATTCTGTTGCCACGCTCGATTAATACGAACGCAAAGCGACCATCGGCTGTTATGGCAGTCCACACCATCACCATGGCCGGCGCTTGAGTTCTGATGGCCAACCGAAGGTTCAAATTTTCAGCTGACCTCTTTGGCAAGCAAACATGATCATTTTGTTTGTATACAAACTGCTGGACAACGAATGTTTTCTCATCAGAGGAAACCAAATTCGGCAGTTCGGAACTTACGGCCAAGCGAAGGAATTCTTTAGCTCTTTTGGGACTATTTTCTTTCTGTTGTTGTGGCGGTGTAAGTTCTTGCACTTTTTGGAATTTCAATGGCTTTACCCTGAGCTCATTTTTCAATATTTGCCGAATGGAATATTGCGATATATTCACCTCACGATCCATTTTTCGGCCAGTGCGACGTGGGTTTCGATCAAGTCGCTTCTTTACTTTTCAAACCATTTCTGCTGATGTTGCTGTTTTCTTTCGCCCACTTCCTTGACATCGGAGTAGGCTACCAGTATCACGGTAACGAGAGATGGTACGAGACACAAAATATTTATTCACATTTAAATGCTATAATGCTCTAACGATAGATACTTGTGGTTTTCCAGCCAAATATAAAGTAATAACACTATCACGCTGGAATTCCATCACGAGTAACTTTTTTCTGGAAAATTCTCACCAAAATGCTTTTGTACGCTTGTAAACAATATAATGAACTGTCACTGGAATAATTTTAACAGCTGTCGGACGAGTGGCTTAAAAATAACAACAGTATGAAGTTGGTTGCAGTTTTTTCATCTCACCCTGTGTATGGGAGCTATATCTAAATCTTAGCAGTTCTCGATAAAATTTGGAAAGGTATTTCCGAACTGTATAAGATATCTTGTACTAAATATCGTTGTAGTCGAATGCATATTACGAATGTGAGGGACTTAAACACCAACTCGGATGAAACAAATATATGGGAGCTGTAGCTATATCTGAACCGATTTTCACCAATTTAATGTACTTGCTTGTAGACTGAATTCAGTGGGGTATGCTAAAATTCAGGTCATATGGACTGATATTGGCTATTTGGTGGAAATTTAACACGAAATCGTTTGAGGATATATATGGAACCTATATTCAAATCTTCACCGATCTTGACAAAATTTAATATACTTATTTCTGAGCTGTATCTGATAGCAGGTACCAAAGTTCATTGTTGTAGAATGCATATTACGCTTATGAGTGACTTTAAACCCCAAGTGGCGTAAAACATATATATGGGAGCTATAGTCATATCTGAAATTTGAAGTACTGGTTTATAGGATGAATTCAGTTGTAATTGCCAGTATTCAGTCCATTTGGGCAGGTATTAGCCATTTGGTGCACAATAAACCTGATATCCCATAAAGATATATATGGGAGCTATATCCTAATTTGAACCGATCTCGATAAAATTTAACAGAGGTATTCTCGAATAGTATCTGATGTCTGGTACCAAATATCATTCTTCTGGAGTGCATATTAAAACCCCAAATCGGTAAAACATATATATGGTAGCTATAGCTATATCTGAACCGATTTTCTCCAAAATTTGATGTACTTGCTTCTCGACTGAATTCGGTGGGATGTACAAAAATTCAGGTCATTTTGGTGCAAAATTTGTCGATACCAGTTGAAAATATGTGGGAGCTGTATCTAAATCTAATCAGATTATCACCAATTTCAATAGGGTTCGTCCTTGAGCCAAACAAATATTGTTTGCAAAATTCATCTCAATCGGATAATAAACGATACCTGCATTTTGTTCACAAGAATATATGGACGGACGGACATGCATAAATCGATTCAGAAAGTGGTTCTATGAAGATCCTCAAAAATAACTATGGGTCTTTCTCGCTTCCTTCTCCATGTTACAAACAAATGCACAAAGACATACTACCCTTACCACTATGTGGTATGGGGAATAAAAAGTTGACAAATGGTTGGAATTGTTGTATGAGAGCCGAGAATGACAAGACATAAGAACTGCATCAAAATTACCAACTTGGAAAAAATACTCAAGTATTTGTTAAGGTTTCTGGCTCAATCCACTCGGAAGCTTATGGTTATTAAGAGATGTAACATTTTTTGCGCATAAAATTTTAATAGCAAGAAATTACACAGGGAATGGCAAACTTGGCTACCTTCAAGTTTTATGTGAAAATAACGAAGTTCCAGAATTCGATTTCTCATACACAATTTCATTTGAACATACATATGAATGTAAGTATGTTTGTAAATTTAATTTCGTGTTTGCTTTAATATTTTGAATTACAAATTTCTTTGGCATGCCCTGTGACAATGTTGTGACAGTTCGTTCAAAACCATTAAAATTTGTTATTCAAAAATCAATTATACAATATGAGCTACCGGTTTTAACATTAAAACAAATGTCATTAAATGCTAAATTGTGACTTGCAAATTTCAAACAATGACACTTTAACAATTAGAGATATTTTCAATGCAAGA